GCCAAGGGCATAGCTTCCATGTTGGGATCCAGAAGCACAAGACCCCAGCATCAGGCACGCAGCACCAAGGCTTCAGTGGATACCTAGCTCGCTGAGGATGTGGAGTCACTGCTGTGCAACCCATTGGCCTACTGGGCATGCCACAGCCAGATATAGCGATATCTGGCCATGGTTGCCCGGGAACACCTGTCCTGTCCACCGACCAGTGTTCCAAATGAGAGGGTGTTCTGCACTGCTGTGGATGCTGTGACACCATACCACACCTCCTTAGATCCTGGTTTGGTGGAGCAGCTGGTGTTCCTCAAGGTGAACCTCCCACTGCTAGGGTTCCCCAAGCTCCAAGTGCAGATGGAGTGAGTGCCACCCTCCTTACTCTGTCCACACTTATTTCCTTTTTAAATTTTTTTAAAACCATTTAATGCCCCACTTTCAGAGCTGGAGACAGCACTCACTGTATCACCAGCCAGCAAGGGAAGAATATGTCCCTGCTGAGCTCCTATGCCAGGACAAACTTGGAGGCATGGGCTGGAGCTATGGGGAAGGAGGAGCCCCCAGTCCTAGGCATGACCTAAAACTGCACCCTGCCAGGGTTGGAAGGCTTGGTAGGACTGTCGGTGGTGCGGCAGCCCCCACGAAATGCCAGGACCACAAACCTCCCTGGTGAAAGGCAGGTAGGAGGCACCTTATAACCTCCAGCCACCACACACATGCACAGTCCTGGCTAGGGAAAGCCCAGACCTGTAAGATCTTTGAGAGGCCTGAGGCTTGCTGGTTGTAGTGGAGTTGTAAGGCTCCATGTAAGATTAGCTGCGAGGCATGGGCCTCAGTGTAGGGAAGGTATGGGGCTACGGAATGGATGTCGCCCCTAGACATCAGGAGCCTATGGGCAGCCTCCTGCCTGGGTAACATCTGAATCAGTTTTCCATCAAGGCATGGCAGGAAAAGTGGGACAGGTGATTGGCCCAAAAACAGGTGGGCAGGCTGAGAGCTCACTGGCACATGGAAGGCCCCCTGTTATAGGCTAACATCCCTGCTGGTTTCATCCCACTCTGCCTACACACACAGAGGTGACATGAGTTTTGCTTTCAGAAGCTTCAGTTGCAGTTTCACCCCTGTACTGATCTCCTTGAAACCTGGCAGGCTTCATGGCCTCAGAAGGGGCAACCTTGCTTGATGTTTTCATCCCGCTTCACCTTAACGCACACGTGACATGAGTTTTGCTTTGAACAGTTTGAGGTGCAGTTTCACAAAAACCTCTGCATTTATCTCCTTGAAACTTGGCAGGCTTCATGCCCTCTGAAGGAGCTACCATCCCAGCAATTTTCATCTGAATCAAGCAAAAAATGACAAAGTTATAGGCATTTTAGTGATTCCTCATTATAGCCTATGGCCTTCTGAAATGGCCAAATCCAAAACTGAATCAAAACATAGCCGTTTTGCACAACCCGACTCAATACATTTTTGTGTGTCTTGGGATACGTTCAAAGGAGAACTTAAATGTTGTAGCATCTCATTTTTGGCTGCTTAAACACAGAAAGAAATCCAGAACCCTTCATTTGGTGCTCAAGCTCCATATACACTGGGGAGAGTTCTGAGTGCTGAGAACTAGCTCCATCCTGAACTTAAGAAAGCTCCCTTGAACTAGCCAACAGGAAACACTGAGGACAGGGTGTCCTTTAAATGCTGCCAGAACCCTCTCATGGAAGTAGATAGCAACCACCTTTCTTTCAAAGGGTCTCTCTTTTCTTGTAAAAATGATAGAGACAGCAGCATCCAACTTGGAAGGGAAAAATTGTGTGTTCTGCTCCCTGCTCCTAGCACATAGCAATAAACTCCAGCTCAATGTGCTGTGGAGGGCTGGCTAGGGCATGAGGGTGCTACAGTGTGGCTAGCTGGCAGGCAGCCCCCACACTAACACCTTCATGCTTCACTCAGCCCTTGTCACCATCTACACATACATTTTGGCTCACTAAATAACTCTACCATAGGATAGAATGTGTCCCAGTAGGTACTATCCTATAGTGGAGTTAATTAATTTACTGTGCCCTAATAGGGGCACACATGTAGATGGTGACATTTTACTGTGGAGCTAATTAGTCAATTCCACAGTAAACTGCACATGTAGATGCACCCAATGACAGCTAAATGCAAAATGCACAAACAGTCCTAGAGCAGGGACCAAAACACGACCTCCACCCACCACCTTACCATTAGTCTAGAGAGTCATGCTCCTGACTGCCTTTTTCTTCATGGTTAAAGAATCTAGAATTCTTTTTCTACACCAATGTCTTCAACAGAAGAGGGAGAGGAAAGAGGGGTAGGAGTGGTAGCCCCCAAAACTGCCTGCTTATTAGGGTACCTTTCAGGGACACCTATGTTTGAATCCTCTAAAACAGAAGGAATGGTGAACCTACATCTATATTCTGTCCTAAATACTAAGCTATTGTATCACCCGATTACCAGCACAGCTACTTTATTTTTTAATGTCAGCCATTACTACACTGTTTGAAGGCTGATCTCTATTAGGCATTAATAGAGTATTAATAGAGCATTAATAGAGTAGTAGAGGCAGTATTCTCTATAAGAATACTGGTCAGCTGGAACTCCTGGAGGACAACATATATACAAGGGAATGCTTAGCTTCTGAATCTTGATTGGGGAATTTTGTGCAGAGCTCCTCAGTAGTGTTAAGACATAAACCATCTTTAAGGTCAAAAATAAAAATCAGACACTTTTAGAGGGTAGACATCTCCAGAATTAGGTCACACCTTGGCAGGAGTCTTCAGGATTCTAATTTGGGACTTTAATAATTAAAGTGGGACATCTGGAGGTAAGTACATAAGTCCTTTCCTGGAGACTGAAGCCAGAGTGCTTGTGGGTGGTACCAGACTGACAGCCATCAAAACTGAGGTTTCCTATTCACAGACTAGAGTTAGAGATGCAAACTCTGTAGTGACGCAGGCATTCCCACACTAATACACCTAAGCTATGACTTAGAGCAAGTAAATCAAACAATGGGATCATCAGTGTACACAGCGAATGTATAGAGTCTATGAAAATATTTTTTCTGTGGTAGATAGGTTACAGAGCACTGAAATTATTGACAGTGTTGGATAATTTATACAACGTTGCTTTTTCAAAACAATATATTTCAATGGCTAGTTGAACCCATGTTGAACCTATTATAAAAGGCAACAAAATAGGAAGTCAGGATTCTTTTTATAGTCATGGTTCATTTTTTAAGCATTTTTTTTCCTCAGAACAAAAGAAAACCTTTATATCTTTCATCAGGTTCTGAGGTTTTTAGTTTCTCATACCCAAGATTATAAATAATCTCTCCAATACCTCAACAGTAAAGAATTCTTAAAGCATTTGAGAAGTACTCTTAATTTTTACCTGTCAACATATATTCTTCATCTTTTTCTTGACCCCTGATCAGACTTAGACACATTTATGCTCTCTCTCCCCTTAGGACATTAATGACTATCTTCTAATAAAAGGTCACTATGAAGGATTTGCCTCAAAATGCCACTGGGAAAAAGAAAGATATATTTCCTCAAAAGCGTTATCTCATATGCTAGTATGTACATATATTTCTTACAAATACACTGCACGAAGCAAAGTGAATGAATTCAAATAATTAATGTGAAAGTGAAAAAAAAAACCAAGACACTACAAAAGATTCAAATTACTTTTCTATCTGCTAAAGCACTGTAATAGACTGGCTAGATCAATTGCTGAGTTTTTTTAAATGTTGATTTGTTTCCTATGACTAAATATTCAGCTGGTGTAGTTGTAAGTGTCTTATCTGGTTTTATTGATTTTTTTAAATTAACTCTAACTCTGTTTTCAACAGTTGTATCACTACTCCTTTGAGGTACACAAGAAAGATAGGCATCAAGAACAAATTGTGACTATTACATATCTTTTAAGACAGAAGAAAGTAATAATCATTCTGAAAAGCTAAAGGGTACTCTCATAGTACTAATGCTTCCTCTTTCCCAATTTTCTTTTATGCTTATCTCACATTCACTGTTTTTACACTATTCTGCTTTTTTAATACAGTCCATTTGATTTACAAATAACAGTTTAAAATAACTCTCAAAATTCCTAACTGTATCAGTAAGGTGGGCCCTGTACTAATAGAGAGATACATGCAGTCCCTGCCCTCAAGGGCTTGCAATGTAAAATGTATTCTTGTCTTTTTTAGCAAAGTAAACGAGTATAGTGTATCTTCGTCGAAAAAGTGCCAAAATGATTTAGAGTATATTGGATATGCACCAATGCAAGTATCTTGTATGAACTACTTTACTCTTACAAACTGCTAATACTAGCAGCCAGTAAAAGGAGACAGCTGAAAAAAAGTGTGTAGGCTTTTATTACAAGTTATAGATTCTTTTTTATAAGCTCCCTTAATAGTACAGATATTGCAAAATACAGATTCACTCCCTGACCACTGGGTTTATGTTCATGGAGGATGAACTGTTATGAGAATGGGAAGTAGGATGCTGCAGCCATGATAAAGCCACAAGGAAATATTGAGACAGACCAGAAGGATGAGAGCTGGACTTAATAATTTAAAAACTCACAGCACTATTAGGCAGTTCATCATGATAATTTTCCTACATGTTATTTCCTTTTCCACAATCCCCTTTTTGTGGGTTGTCTGTCTAGAGTATAAACTTTTAAAGGCAGGGACAGACTTTGTTCTGCAACAAATTACCATATTTTGGTCATTTTGATAATAATGAATAGCTTATTGTTAATAAATAATAGTTTGATAATAAACAATAGTTTGATACTGCAACTATTCTGGCTCCTACTAATGGCAGAGGCAGAGGCAAAAAGAGAGCAGTGTAGATTCAGGACTTCATACCCCAGCTTGTACATGCTTTTAACAAATGCTTAGTTAACACACATTTAGTACAGATGGCCTGCTTAACTCTGGATACAGAGTTAACAGGACTAAATGCTTAATGGGGAAATTCATAACTACTTACTGACAGAGTTCTTTAAAAAGTCAGAAAGGTTGTCTTGTAAGCATAAGGCTCCTATACTGAAGGAGTCAGTTCAGTAAGGATCAAACAGGCTCCTGCCCTGCAGCCCTTTTTAAGTGCCCTGACCCAGTTATTACCAATCAAGTCCAGCTGACCTGCAGCCTCTTCCCTTTGATTGGCTCTGGAGCTGCATTTCAGGAACACCTCCAGCACCTAAGCCTTGCTGTACTACACACTGGTCTTCCATCTCTGAGCAGCTCCTGTCTCAGCAACATCCCTGGCTTCCCTAGTTTCTGACCCTGCCTTTGACTTGCTTCTGGGTTTTGGCCTTTGGATTCCCCCTGCACACCTGTTCCCTGACATCTGGCCCTGGCTTGGTTTACTCTTGGAGTTTCCCCTGTGGACTATCCTTCAGACATAGTAGCTAGGTTTTTGATTCCTGACCTGGCATTCTGGCTTCTGACTTGTGGCTTCTGAATCTTGCCCCAGCTCTACCCACTAGGCTAGCCAGGCAACCTGGTGTCCTGTGATAGTAAGGAGGGTGCACAAAGAGACTAAACCTTTTAGCCTTCCTTTTTCCCCCTAATAAAAAGTAACTTGTAAAAGCACTGACTGCTTTATCATTTGCAGAGAGACATACAGAACATGGCCAAAATGGAAGGGTCACACAGGTTTATAATCATTATCTATGATTTGTATCGCCCTAGCAATACCCCATTGTCATAAATGCCGTATAATCATCATGAGATAGTCCATATTTCCAAAGCTTACCTATGATAGAGGTCATTTACTCTGAATCAAAATCATGCTTTGCTGTCCAGTTTAGGTACGTTATATTTAAGTACAGAAAAGAAAGTACTCTTTTCACATTTCAGACCCATGAACAATAAAATAGGAACCGAGTACAAGCATTACCAAGCACTTCTCACAGATTCAGGCATTTTAAACCCAAAAGGGACCATTAGACCATCTAGTTCAGGTTCTTAACCTCATTAAACTCCCCTCAGAAAATCCCAGCTATTAGTTTCACTTTTCTTTGACTATGGGGAAAAAATAGCACAATTCTTCTGTTGCAAAGAGCTCAAAGATCAGAATGCTTTAACAGTATGGATTTCTATTTGAAATCTTTGGCTGTATCCAGACGAACGAGCACATACCTCTTGCAGGATCTCAAAGCAGTCTGAGATGCCACAAGAGGCATGCTGGGAATGAAATATGTTCCCCACACTGGATATTTGAGCTGCTGCAAATACACATGCCTGCATGTATGGATGCACACTTTGGTGATGTCCAAACGAGTGTGGACATTTGGTTTCCCAGGGACAAGTAGGGGCGGCACACCTTGCCCTGCCGCTACTTCTCCCCAGGGAATGCCCATGTCAGGCATGCTTTGGCACGTAGCAAGTTACCCCAGATGGGGTAGGGGAAGCTGGGGCCAGCACTGGCCTGGCCCCAGCAACCTTACCTGGGGACAACGCTGCTTTTGATTGCTTGTAACTGTCAAATTTTAAAACTGGACTGAATTTTTTTGTGTTCAGTGTTTGTTTCAGTTTAAATTCTTGTTCAGAAATTTAAGCTCTTTCCGAAAATTTTGAGAAAAAATATTGTTTACACACATTATAAAACCTAATATCACAAGGTTGTTAAGATAAACTTTATTAATTCTTGTGAAGCATTCAGGTAATATGGTAAGAGTACCATAAAAACATTCTAAAGGAATTTAATAATTTAATATTAAGCTCAGAGTTGGAAAACTATGTGGTAAACAAGGCCTAGAGCCACACACGAGGGTCAAAAAAATATACTGAACTACAATTATTCATTGAATAGGATGGGGGCTGTAGAAAAATGGTACAAAAGGAAATATACAAAAGGTAACAAGGAAGGCTGAAATAAAAGACAATGAAGCAGATTACAAAAGTCATGTATCATGTTGTACATGAAATCTTGCATTTAGGTACCTACCACACTTAAGTAATCATATCATTATTATTAAGTCATTACTAAGTCCCCTTGATGCAGCTGTCCCCTTGATCTGTGCTTTCTCTTATTTAGTGTGCCAGGTATCTTATACACTTTAAGCTACCCTAGTAGAAATCTGACCTTTGCAGACCCCACTTAAAAATTAAGAGTCTTTCATCTTTTTTTTTTGTTAAACATTTTCTCCATGACAGATTTAGAATATCCATCTGTACCTAAATAATGCAATAAAGGAAATCTCATCTCATAGCTCACCCATCCAATTATCCAGTAATTCTGCACAAAATAAAAACTGTTAACAATAGCTGTGAACTAATCCACTCTGAATTGAGCTCTTTGTGTAAAAAATTTCAGACGAACAAGATATTCTCTCTTTCCTCCTCCCCTTCCTTTTCCTGAGATATCACATCTGAAGATTATAAACATCTGTACTTTCAGTTAATTTACGCCAATAGGATGCTGAAATTAAATCCCCCTAGTGGATTGTGTTCTTCCTGTTCTAACTCAGTCTATTTAACTTCCTAATGATCAATTTCCCAGTGCCTCAGAGAGAGAATTTCAATGAATGTTTCATCAGCTAAAATGTGATAGCTTGATGGTTATTTTTATTTCTATATATCTGAGCCAATATTTATTAATAATTTGTAGGCATCTTGCCCTAAGAAAAACACAAGTGGATTAACCATGCAAGTATGCTTAGACTGGGTTGATATGAATTGTCTGCTGTCACTAATGACTTGAACAGATTTTCTATTGCCATGGGATTTATTTCAGATGTTCTACTAGCAAAAATAAAAATATCCCATCAATCAATAGCTCCTTGATTTTCATAGATTCATAAATGTTAGGGTCAGAAGAGACCTCAGTAGGTCATCGAGTCTGACCCTCTGCCCTGGGCAAGAACGAGCACTGGGGTCAGATGACCCCAGCCAGGTGCTTGTCCAGTCTCCTCTGGAAGACCCCCAAGGTAGGGGAGAGCATCACCTCCCTTGGAAGCCCATTCCAGATTTTGGCAACCCTTACTGTGAAGAAGTTCTTACTAATATCCAAACTAACTCTGCTCTCTGTCAATTTGTGGCCATTGTTTCTAATTACTCCAAGGGTGCCCTAGTAAATAGAGCATCTCCTATTCCCTACTACCCAATTTTGGTTTAGTAAGTCTGGTAGTAGCATACTATAATATGGATCATGCAATGAGTATTTGAGATTTAGTGGTTCTGTTCTACACCCAGCTAGTGACTTATTGTGTGGACTTGGCCAAATAAACTAGTATGATGATTTCAAAGTGACTACAAAATTTGGCTCCATATGCTTTGAAAAAAAATCTCAGTTAAGATTTCATTAGCCATTTTAAAAACAATATCCACTCTTTGACCATACAATTTGAACTTTTACTCCCAATGTGTTTTGGAAGGTGCTTTTTAGCTTTTAGTTTGAACACTAGCCTGACTCCACAATGATGTGCTTTTTTCTGGTGCACAGATATCTATCATTATACACTAACATAATGCTTAGTACTTTGTATGTGTTTTCTAAATTGCAGATAACAAAAAAAAAAAAACAAGAGGGAAAGTTCTACTCTGCCAGTGAGGGAAGAGTTACTTGCCTTCAGTGGAATCCTAGCATGGGAAAATGACCACTTTGTCCATTCAAAAAGTTAAGAATTATTTCATTATCATCCAACTACAAAATAAATAAGTTCAAATTTTGCTCTTTTATTCTGTGCTCTTGTAGCTTCATGAAGCATCAAGGAATTAAAATTGAACATGCATTTATACCACCTGTCCAAAAAATAAAAAGGAAAAAACAGATGAAACAATCTAAGTTTGTTATAGTTAAAACAAACACTCAGGCTAGGGACAGAAATAACACATAAACCAATATAAGTGATCAGAAACAGATTCAGGTCTGTAATACAACAGAAGTTCAGTGCAAAGAAACCACCCACAAAATGGCCAAAACCAGTTTAAGATAAACCTGGATGGATGTAGTATCAGAGGTTACAAACAGATGTGAAGATCTCCACTGTATCTCAGAATGCTTTGCAGGAAGCGTTCAGAGTTACAATGATCCCTTGGAACAAGCAGTTCATTTTTTGGTTCCAGTGGGGAGGGGAATCTTGCTGCTGGCTGCCAGCCTGGAGCTGGTTTCCCCTAGCAATGGCCCCTCCTCTTTCTGAGCCTGTCCATTTCAGAATGGGAGGAGAGAAAGGGAGCAGAGACAGCTCATTCTAGGGGTTCCCCAACAGGGTCTCAAGGGTGGAATGGGTGAATTGGACCCATCCCCCATCTCATGGAGGGGACCCCTCCCCCATCTCATGTCCCTCCAGGACACCTACCCCACCCTCCAGCTGGGACTGAAAAACCCCCAGACTGAATTCCCACCACTCCCTTTCCCCCCACCTATTCTGAAAACAGGCTGGCAGGCAGTGCAGACAGAAGTTACAGAAGATACTGCTTTGAAACATCTTCATCTGACTCCTCATATAATGAGGGGTCATATTTTCAACTGATCGGCCATTTTTTAAGCTGTCTGCAAATGTGTGGCCAGATCAAGCAAAAGTTGTCACTTCTGTCTGTGCCCAGACTTAACTGATTTAGGTTAAATAAGTTTATTAAACTTCTGTTCCAGAACCCCTCCATATTTAAGTTAACTCCCAGTCCCCCAGCATGCCAGGATGCTTTGTACCTCCCCCTGCAAACCCCACCTCGTAGAGTGGGCAGGATAACCTTGGCTCAAGATGTCCGAAGCAGGTGAGCAGGGAGGCATACACTAGCACCTCTGGCTTCTGGTGTCAGCCACTGCAGCCATGCAGAATCAGAAGTGAATGTCACTAGGTTATCAGTTTGATCTATGCAGTTTAGACTGACCTGTGAAGACTGAACTGATTCAGCCTCAGGCTTTTTGACTGTCTGTACTTAGCCTCAAGGAAATAATCTGAAAACTAGTAGAATCTCTGTGTAATAACCTACTACAACATTTACTATATTATCCCAGAAAACAATGGATGACCTTCTTGTATTTATCCTGTTTAAACTGGGAGAAACCAGGTAATGTAATGACATGCACTATTAAACTCTTCTAAAATAAATATACTCTCTTCCTGCTATTACCAAAGAATATTTATCCTATTCAGCTGCTTCAAATTTATATTTTCATAAACAATTTACATTTCACCAGCAATTTTTCTGTATATCAGAAAAGAAAAGAAAAAGTTGTCAGAATAATAAATAATAAACAGAAAAAAATCACTAAACAACCACTGCAAGACATTAAATCTGATAAGTTCCAGACTTTGGAGGCACATAACTTAGGTTTCTATCTTACTAGAACTTGCTCAGTTTGTATTGTATTGAAACTGTAAAGTCAGGTCAGAATCATAAAAATAAAGAAAGCTGCTTAAATGGTGTAAAGACATAAATAAAAACTTCCATCTGGAGACAGTATCTTCATTCAATTTGGTTTTGCTTATTATTGATGGTTTAGGAACATTCCATGTGACTGGAATCTTGTTTTCCAGAAACAGGTCAAGTACATTTTAAAACTTGTGATTTTTTCCATAAAGTTTTCACATGCACCACCATAAGAAATTTTCAAGAAAATACTTTCTTTCCATTTCATTAAACCTTTTCCTTTGGAGGTTTTCTTTATTTTAATAAAAAAGTCCAAATCTGAAAAAAAAATCTAAATTCAGACTTCTTTAAAGTTCTGCTACAGTGGCCTACTTTGTAATTACAGTTGTGAAATTCTAAAAGATTTTATCTTTTTCAACTCTAGTACTGAACTCACTAAATTCAATAGAGTAGGACCAGCTTACAGCAAGGTTAAAATTCTTCCAGTTTTCATTACTGAAAAGGAAATATTAATCTTGTTAACATCAAAAGTAATCCAAAGCCTGTAAATTTTCTTATTATTATTTTGGTTTATCTTAAAAAAAAAAATGTTGTATCTGATCTTAAGCATCAAATTTGAACTCACTCTTTTTCCAGTGAAGTTTTAAATGCCTGAAAAACAGAACATTAACTGAAGTTCTCTTTTGTTAAACTGCTTAGAATTCAGGATGCCTTCTGTGATTACTGACTGTTTGCTATAAACTATCAAAACATATTACAGAGAATATGGAATTAATAAACCTAAAATTAAGGATATTGCCAAGCTATTTTCCATAATTTTCAAGATAATTTCCTCTTACTTCTATTTATAATACCCTCTTAAAAACTACAAATTGAAATCCATTTCCCTTCTGACAGCTATATTTTGTAACCTTTCCTCATATCAGTGGACACCAATGAATACAAGTCATCGCCCTGAAATGAATGGGACTACATATGTAAGTTTTGGTAACCTGATTAAAAGTTGTAAAATGTGGTACTTCTATGTTTTTCATTCCCAGGCTTATTATTATACAAATGCTGTGAGTTGAAGCATTGAATCTTTGTAAGCTGGCTTCTTGGACTCCATAATAAAGCCCTAGTTTAATGCCAAGATAATTAGCTAAGGTTACTCTGTGAACAATGCTGTGCACAATCTGAGCCAGTCTCACTTGACTGTGTTATATATCAAAAGCTGATATCTGTGCTTTTGGTTACACTTACAGATTTGTAGTGGGGTTTGTTTTTCCATTGTACTTGATGCAAAGATGACCCTAAAGAGAACAGAAAATGAAAGGTGCTCTTGTATCATCTAGTCCATTTTAGTGTACTTGGTGCAGAATAATCCTCTAGGGCAAGACTAAAATCTAGAAAATAAGTCCAATTGGCCGTGTACAAGGCAAAGCACAAGAAGCATTGCTCCATTTTCTCATGCTCACCATGTCAGAAACACTCACAGCCCATGTCCCTACAAGCAGGAACATGCAATTGTTGCATGGAAAAAAGCAGCAGCACGAATTTGTGCTGCTGCTTTTTGCCCCAGCTCACTCCTCTGAATGTGGGGTTAGCATGAGAAAAAATGCTCTGGGTTGGGTAGAAGAGGCTGAGGCCAGCACTTGGGCTAGACCCATCAGCTTTACCTGGGGTCCTGGTGGACTCCCAGGGCTCCAGTGGCAGCAGTCCAGGCACATGGAGCCTGGCTGGCAGCCAGAGCACGGCTCTGGCAGGCCAGGCTCCAGTTCTGGGCAGCGCACACTGCCACCACATGTTGCCCCACTTTATTCTGGTGCAGGTTTGACACCAGGATCTCCTGGTGTAAAAAACCCCCCACCACCCTGCAAATTAGTGGTGCGGCGAATGCCTGTATGTGTGGTGTGTGCGGTTTGCAGCACCACAGACGGGTCTGTGGTGCTGCAAACCGCATGTGTGAACTCATCTAGACGCTCCAACAGTGTGTGAAAAGTACATCAGGCAAAACTGACAATAGTATCAGCATCCTGAAGAAGCACAGGGAGAATAAATAAGGAACCAGAACCCACACCTTTCCAAATTCAAACAAAATAGACAATTGAAAGAATGTCAAACAACTAGCAAGAGACACCAGCCCAGATCCACAAAGTTATTGAAATGCAGCTCCTATTCAAATCTAGTTAGGCACTTATATGCCTTTCGGGATCTAAGCTCATGTATTTAGCCAAAACCATCTCTTCCTACATAATCCCTTACAGAGACACATGGTTTAAGGCCAACACATTGATTCTTGGTACCAATTAACAGAAATAGGGTTCCTGTAGACAAGCAGCAAGGCTGCTCCAACTTGCTGTAAATCCAGCTCATGTAAATTAACATGTTCCAGCTGCCTCCAGCATCACATGTATCAGCATCCCTGTGCTGAAAAATGGTGGTAGGGTGCTTTAAACTAAAGCTTGTTCAATGACATTTAGGTCAAAGCACCCCACTACCATTTTTCAACACAGGGACACTGATACACATGACACTCAGGTGTTTTTAATTAGTGTGGCTCATTAATTCATGCCCCCCCCCCCCCCCACACACACACATACCACCACCACCTCCTGGAGCACATCTATAAATGCTCATAATTTCACTGACTTCTGTAGGGGATTTCCACTTGGGTGAGGATGACAGATTTTACATAAATCTCTCTAAGCATTTTACAAAAATCCTTCAGATCCTCTGTTTTCCTATGGATCTGTAAAGTCATTCATGAAAGTTTTCTGCCACTTATTCTGACCCTACTAGAGCTTTACAATGTTAATATATGCCACGTGATATGTCGGCAATAAAAGTAAAAAAATCAGAATGAGCCATCAGCAGAGTAAAGGAGCCAACAAGGAAAACTTAAAAATACTGGGGTGAGCACAACATATTCAAAACAAGATCAAATTTGATGACTCTAGCTTACACCAGTGCATAACATTTCCTTGAGCATTCTATAGAGCCCAAAAGATTCTCTCAGATGGGGGGACTACCGCCACAGCAAGCCCACTGGGCAACTTTTGCAAATCCAGCAGGCTAAGGCACTTAAGGGAGCCTACCCCAGCCCTAGAACGATGTGTGGGGAAGGCAAGGGCCCCCAGTGGGACACTTACGTGCCTGTACACCAATGCCAGGAGCTTGGAGAATAAACAGGAGGAACTGGTCCTCCTGCTAAACAAGAACAACTACGATCTCATAGGGATAACAAAGACCTGGTGGGACTCCACCTATGACTGGGCCACAGGTATAGAAGGCTACACTTTGTACAGGAGAGATCATGTGGACAAAAGGGGCTCTCTACGTCAAGGAAAGCTATGCGTCCCTGCAAGCTGTCACTGGCACACAGGGTGGATGACTGGAGACTATCTGGGTTAAAATCCATGGTGAACATGGCACAGAGGACACAATGGTGAGAATCTACTACAGACCTCCTAGCCAGGGTCAAGAGCTTGACCAGGAATTCGCCAGGGAACTGACTGAGGCTGCACACTCCCGGTGCATGGTTGTCATGGGAGACTTCAACTACCCAGTCATCTCGTGGGAAGTGCACTCGGCCAAATCTGAATGGTTGCAAAGCTTACTCACATGTGTGAATGAGCTCTATATGACTCAAGAAGTCTATGGACTGACAACAGGCAAAGCGCTGCTCGACTGGGTACTGGCAATGGGGGGATGACTTAATCAGTGACCTAATGATCAAAGGGAAGATGGGAGACAGCGACCATGAGCTGATCTGTTTTCCCATCCACCACAAAGCTGGCAAGTCAGTCAGCAATGCAGAAGTCCTTGACTTCAGGAAAGCTGGCTTTGACAAGCTCAGGAGGCTTGCTGGAGAGGTCCTAGGGGACCACGACCCAAAGGGGAGGGGATTTCAGGATGTGTGGTTGCTCCTCAAGGGAGCAATCCTGGAAGCACAAGCAATGTGTATTCCATCTCGGAGGAAAGGCAGTGTGACAGTGGTGTGCCGCCATCACGGGCACAGGCTAAGGGCAGGAAGGGTTGCGGGGCGGATACAACCCCAAAACAGAGCCCCGGGTGGGGGTACTTACCTCCGGGAGAGACGGCGGCATCGGAGCCGAGACCGCAGCAGCAGCTGCAGCCGCAATTACGGCCACGCAAGCCGGCATTACGCCGGTTATTTAAGCAGCTGTTCCCGGTGAGCGAAACAGCTGAGCCAATCGCAGCGGCCGCCGCGGCCACCGCAGGAGAGTTCAAAAGCCCCGGCAGCACCCGCGGGCAGGGGGAGCGAGAGAGAGAAGGAGAAGGCGGGCAGCACGGCCGGTGTGCTGCAGCTCCCCCGTTAGAAAGGCACCAGCAAGGCTGCAACGGATCCACGCTGCAGCGGAAGCAAGGTTTGGAGCCCCTGACAGAGGCAGGAGGAGGCTCGAAGCCTCATTCAGAGGCAGGGGGCAGGAAGCTCCCTGTCCTACCCCAGGTAGGGAGCAGAGAAGCTCCAGGATCCCTCTCGGGAGGAGGGAATCAGGGGGAGCACTGAGGCTCCCTGCACGGAGGAGCAGGTACCCTAAGGGAAATAGGGGCAGAGATAGGTGGAGCCCTCCCTAGGGATTGCTGGGTCCCGGACATCAGTACAGGAAGTCTCCCCACCCAGGCAGAATATTATTTCTAGAGGAAAAGGGGAGGAAGAAGGACTGCCAGAGCTAGTGGAGGAGCCAGCGAGAGTAGAAGACAGGCTGGCCCAGTGATATCATTAGGCCTGGGTACACATAGTCGGAGGAAACCAACGGCAGGCCTGCAGTGTACCGCAGGCCACCATACCACCAGCACGTGATCGGTTGGCGAGTGGACGGGCTGTAGGGGTGGCGGAGCCCTGTGGAACAACAGAAGAGTCAACCGTGAGTACACCCGCACTGGGGAACCCCTCAACTAAAGAACTCCACTGAAACCCTCTCACAGATCAAACATAACAGCAAAGTTGTGGCAGGCGGGACATGGGGAGGGGCTACCTAGACGACGGGTGGTACCGGATTCGAGACGTCCGTCATCACAGGCAGCAAAAGGGCACAGCAGCCCCCTTGGCTCTGCAGGAAACTAGTGTCTAAAAAGAAAGACCTATAAAGGATGGAAGACTGGATCCACCTCAAAGGAGGAGTATTCTGGACTGGTCTGGACCTGTAGGGAGGAAACCAGGAAAGCCAAGGCTGCAACTGAACTTCAACTGGCTACACGTATCAAGGATGATAAAAAGTCCTCTTTTAGACATGTGGGGAGCCAAAGGAAAAGCAAGGATAACATTGGACCCCTGCTAAATCATATGGGACAACTGACAACCGACGCCCAGGAAAAAGCCAACCTGCTTAATGGTTAATTTGCATTGGTTTTTCACCAGCCCCAAGGGACGGCCCTGCTCAATAGGGTACAGGACAGCCAGGGTGAAGGAGAATTGTTACCCTTCATCAATGTAGATCATGTGGAGGAACACCTTGAGAGGCTGGACACCTTCAAGTCAGCTGGCCCAGACAGTTTACACCCCAGGGTACTTAAGGAGCTGGCAAGCATCATAGCTTAGCCACTGGCACAGATCTTCAAGAACTCGTGGTGCTCAGGCGAAGTGCCCAAAGATTGAAAGAAGGCCAATGTGGTGCCCATCTTCAAGAAAGGGAAGAAACTAGATCCAGGGAACTACAGGCCCATCAGCCTCACCTCTATCCCAGGGAAGATCTTGGAAAAAATGATCAAAGAGACTATTCTTGACAAACTGGTGGATGGCAACATCCTGAGGGATAGTTAGCATGGGTTTGTTACAGGCAGGTCTTGCCTGACCAATCTCATCTCCTTCTATGACCAGGTGACATATCACCTGGACAAGGGACAAGAGGTTGACATCATATATCTTGATTTTTTAAAAAGGCTTTGATCTGGTATTCCATGATCATCTCATAGAAAAATTGGCCAACTGCGGCCTCAGCTACAGCACAGTCCGATGGCTGGGGAATTGGCTCCGAAGTTGAACCCAGAGAGTGGTAGTTGACGGAAGTCAATCATTGTGGTTCTCCATGACCAGTGGGGTCCCCCAAGGCTCCGTCCCTGGGCCTATACTTTTTAACATCTTCATTAATGATGTGGACGTTGGTATCAGAAGTGGACTGGCCAAGTTCGCCGATGACACCAAACTTTGAGGTAAAGTGTCCACAACCAAGGACAGGATGGTGACCCAGGCCGACCTTGACAGGCTCAGAAAATGGGTAGACAAAAACCTGATGGTGTTCAACACCAAAAAATGCAAAGTACTCTACCTTGGAAAGAAAAACCCTCAGCATGCTTATAGGCTCAGCAGTGCTATGCTTGCTAACACCATGGCCGAAAGGGACTTGGGGGTTATGATTGACCACAAGATGAATATGTACCACCAATGTGATGTTGCAGCTGGTAAAATGAGCAAAACTCTGGCTTGCATTCATAGATGCTTTTCAAGCAAATCCCAGGATGTCATCCTCCTGCTGTACTCAGCTTTGGTGAGGCCACAGCTGGAGTACTGCATCCAATTCTGGGCTCTACAATTTAAAAAGGATGTGGAGAAGCTTGAGAAAGTCCAGAGGAGAGCCACGTACATGATCAGAGGGCAGGAGAACAGGCCTTATGATGAGAGGCTGGCAGCTAAGGGACTCTTCAGCCTGGAAAAGCGCAGGCTCAGAGGGGACATGGTGGCTGCCTAAAAGTACATCAGGATCTGGGGGAATGCCTGTTGACCAGAGTGCTTCAAGGCATGACAAGGTCAAACAGTCACAAACTTCTCCAAGACCATTTCAGGCTGGACATAAGGAAGAATTTTTTTACTGTGCGAGCCCCCAAGGCCTGGAAAAGACTGCCACCAGAGGTGGCACAAGCAGCTACTCTGGACTCCTTTAAGAGACGTTTGGCTGTTTATCTTGCTGGGATCCTTTGACCCCAGCTGACTTCCTGCCCATGGGGCAGGGGCCTGGACTGGATGATTTCCTGAGGTCCCTTACAGCCCTAATGTCTATGCAGCTATGAAAAAAATTGCCATACACTTTGTAATCTCTCTCACAGATAATGATATACCACAGAAAAACAAGTTCTTATTTAAAAGTCTCAGATCAAAAACTAATGTTCATGTCCTCACCTTATTTAATTTTATGTTATATCAAATGCAGGCATTATATTTTAATGCTTACTAATGTCTTTGTCTGTTTTATAAGAGCTAAAATGAGAGCCATCCCTAGGAGTGACAATGATATAAAGTGTTGTTCTAAACTACAGATTTTCTTTCCAAAATAAGCCTTTTATGTCTTCTGCTTTGCTCTTGCCAATGTCCTAATACATCAGATGTGTTTCAACTTTAACGGTGTATTAGTTCTTGAGTAATTAGTGGTCAGGAAGATGTGAATTGCAAAACACAAATTGCTCTGTAACCGTAAGATTTCATGCACACAACATATTTCCAGAGAAGCAAAATTAGGCAATAAAGACTGAAGGAGCAACAATAATGATACAACAGCCAGCATAGAGCTATTTTATATGTGACACCTTAAAACCAGTACTCAGAAAAAATTGGCATGAACTACCAAGAGTTTTCTAAGGAGGCCCCATTATTTTAAGGCTTCCGCATTTTGAAACTCAGTGAGAGCTGAAAAGGGTAGAAGTGTATGAGACTTAAATAAGGAATGTGAGTTACGCAGGAAACCTTTTCAGAGCTTGAAAGGGAAGTAGCCTGATCCCATGCAAATGGGGGGACCAAGCTAACTTATTTTTGGTAAGCCTTTTTTATTATTACTGATTACAATTACACACATTTTGCTGAAAGGTGGTTAGTTGTGTTAATCTCAAAGTTAGGCAGAAGGTAGGGCAGGGTGGCACCTTAAAGGCTAACTGGTTTAGAAAGACATGAGTTTTTGTAATCAGTAGCCTACTTAACAGATGATCATTCTTTTTGCTGGTAAAGATTTTAAAAAAAGTAAAAAGCAATCTTAATCAAGGAGCTTGGAGTCTAAGAGGCATATTTGAGATATATTCCATAAAAAATTCTGAGGTTTAGGTTTTCACATTTTTTCATCTCAAAAGTAATTCTTGCTTCCCCTTTTCTTACATGTATGGGTGAATCCAGGATTTTATAAAGATGGGTGTGGGAATAGTGACTGGTGCTATGGGGCGATTACATCCCAGCTCCTAAATCCCCACACATGTCTGGACAAGCAGACCACCCTACAGGAGCAGCAGCCGGGGACTTTTAAGTCCTTGAATTAGGTAAGAATTCTGCCCCCCCGGGAACTCTTGATGCTGCCTCTTCTCCCCTCTGTACTTAGCAACACCTTACCTCCCGTCCCATCTACCCCTTCCCCCACCTGCAACTATCACTGTTCTGGGCTTCCTTGGGGGCTGGGGAAGCTTCAGAGCCAGGCTCAGATAGGGACAGCAGCAGTAGGCTAGTTCCCCTTCCTCCGTCTTGCTCCTGAGCTGGCAAGGAACACTTGAAGAGATCAGGCATAGAGGAGAAAACTACCTACTGCCTCTGTCTCAGGCTCCCCACACAGCCTGGCTGCAGCGGGGAAGGACTGGCTCTGGCGCTCCCCCTACCTCCTGGGCAGTAACCACAATTCAAGCCATGCAAAAACAGTGTAATGCATACAATGCATTAATTCATACAGTTCAAGACATACAAAAAAAATTCAAAAGCAATACCTAAACAAGGAGCTACAAGTTCCTCAACTCAAAATTTACAAAACTATGAAAGGTCACACAAGGCTGAGAATTATACTGGGTGCCCTGCAAGAGGAGTTCAGTGTAAGTGCTGCAAAAAGAGCAGATATTCTAATAGCAACTGTGACCACCTGAAACATGAGATCCTGCTCCTGCCCTTGTTTTAAGGTAATTTGCATCATCACAGATCCTCACAAAAGGTGAGAGGTTCCATACCAGCTATGAACTGACTGCCCAGAGTTTTCCATCTATTGACTCCTCTGTGAAATCCTATGAAATATGAACTTTCATTTCTACCCAGGAGAACTTTTACAATCTTTTCTCCAATGACTGATGAATGATGTTTGTGCCCAAAAGCTTGCAATTAAAGACTTTTTTTGCAAAAATCTTGTTGGTCTAATAAAAGAGAGCATCTCTACTACAAGTCCTGATATTCTAATAGAGCATTTCT